ATAATTTAGACAATTTTCCAATATGTCAATGGTACATCATTTTATAAAATAATCTCTTTTAGATTATAACAAAATGAAAATTTTAGATAATTTAACCACATACCTTCTCACTGCATGTATATTGTTTCCAGAGTTCTTAGCTCATTTTATCATACATTCATTTCAAATTTCAATAAAAGTTTATACATTTTAACAATTACATGTACATAGTTCAATTTCAAATTTGTCTTCTGTTGCTAAATTCCAAATATTCCAAATAACTTTCTCAGAGGCTCTAGCCTTTCTTGAACAAATTACTCCATCCAAGTCCCCTCATTAAACACCAATTTTCATACAGTAATCCATTAATTTATCCTTAAGTCCTTTGCATAAAATAAAGACTTCCCTCTTCCTGTCGCTACAGAAAGAATGAATTCAATATTTATGGCTGGTGTCAAAGAAATAGTGATAGTTGAGAAGCAGCAGTTGCTTCTAAAAAAAGGGATGAGGAATTCTCTAATTACACCACAAGACAGGCCATATTTACAGCTTTAATGCAGTGATGGCGAACCTTTTAGAGACTGAGTGTCCAAACTGCAACCCAAAACCCACTTATGCATCGTCGTGTGCCGGGTGGGTGTGGCTCATTGGGTGGGTATGGCCCATTGGGTGGGCATGGCTGCAGTGGTAACAGCAGACTGGGTGGGACTAAAAAGTTCAATCAATCAATTCCAACTTTGCAAGATCTTTTTTTTCCCCGCAAAAAGTTGAAATTGACTGATTGAACCTTTTTTTTTTTTTTGCACATGGTGGCAGAGGCCTAAAGTGAAAAGGTTTTATAAAACCCAGCTGAAGGCCTAGAACTGGGTGACGGCATGCGTGCCCACAGAGAGGGCTCTGAGTGCCGCCTCTGGCACCCGTGCCATAGGTTCGCCACCACTGGCTTTAATGTTATAAACCAGAGTTTAGAATGCAAGCCCTCAAAAGCCAAGCTATGTTACTTGAGATTTCTTCTCTGGCTTTACTGAATATGCTACCTCTCAGTTAACAAAATCCTGAGTTCTTTAAAATGTGACAAGCATGAAACATTTGCACAAAATAGCCTATTTATAAGAAAAGAGCCTTTTCTTACAAAAGGCACAATTTAACATAAATTACAATAGTTATATAAGCACATGGTAATTTTCAACTTTGGTTACTGTTTTTCTTTACCAACAATATACTAGAATTAAGTGAAACAGCCATAGTCATTTAAGGACGGTAGGAACTGCTATCGTGTTGAATTGTTTTATTTACTTGCTTTATTTAAAACATCTATATACCGTTTCCGTGGAAGAAATTTCTAGTGCGTAAAACAGATCCACTTGCAACCTGAGAAAAATCCCTTTGCCATAAGCGATAGATATAACTTGGTTTCATAGCATGCTTTAGCTTCAAAGTTATCTTAAATGCTTAGAATTCTGTAAAATAGTGCTAAATACAGTAAAAGAAGGGCCCTCTTTGATGCAGGTAGAAGTTCCAGGTAACCAAGGAGACACGGTATCTCAAGGACAAGTGACAATTGAAACTCATTCTTATCACAACAGTTCCTATCATGACAAAGAAATGAGTCGAACTTTGTACGTAATTATTAAAAATATTGCAATCTCACCTAATTTCTTACCTTTAGCCTATTGTTAAGTAACTGCCTATGTAATTGCCTTCTAAACTGCATAATACACATAATCGATTTTAAATGCTTGTAACCTATATATAATCCTGGAATCTTTATTCTGGGCTGTTGGCCCCCAAAAGCTTAAGGTCCAATAACACACTATATTGGTAAACATAACAAAATGATGGTTTGGATCCTCTCCTGTTGTTTTGGTAAGTATACTGGGTGCTGTTTCTACCATACTTCTCAATTTAAAGATTGTGAAGGGATTACAATAAATGCTCATACAGTATGTTAAGCCATAATTTGTTTATTCATTTTACTAGCTAAATTTATGAATTGTGTTAATGCACAATCCTTGAATCACAAGCAACAGTGGGTAGATTCAGCTAAGTGCAAATTAAGCAAATCACATTAGGATTTAGATATAATATATGAATCAGGAATCAAATGTTCGTTCCCTTTAGTGGTTTTAGAAAACATCAATTCAGGCAACTTGTGACCCACAGTTTACAATCAGCATATAAGTTCCGCTAGCTTTTTTAGTTTGGTCAGGTGATCTTGCAAACCTGTACCTACACATGTTATTTTCTATTTCTATCCTACCACAGAGCAGTTTCGATGCTTTGCTTGGTCCAATTCAGAAAATCAGATTGTGTATGTTGCAGAGAGAAGGCACTCTGCAAAACAACAATATTTCTCTCAAGAGGAATTCACTGAAGGGCTGGAGGTAAATAAAGAAAGCCATAAAGGTTTACCTTTCTTTTTATTTGTTTTATTTATTCAAATAACTGAACTATGTCAAGTATCTTACGGTCCAAGAGCTTATTGGTAACCCTTGCAGCAACTTCAAAATAGACAGGGCTCAACAGATAGGTTGACCTGCTAACAATATTACCACTGTAGTCTTATCAGCTGCCGCTTCCAAGTCATCTCCAAAAACAACCTTGCATGGAATTTGTTAGAATATCCAATCAACCAAGAACTGATCGAAGCATTAGTTACTGTAATAAGAACATTATAAATCCTTTCTTTTGGCCCGTTGCATGTTGAATTTCTCCATGTACCTAGAGGCAAATGTAAGCTCAAGAAGAATTGTACAAAATTCATCACAGCATTGCATCATTGTGTTCGGCTCCTAGAAAATAAGTTTGCAAATTTTAGATTTCAAATTTGACCACTATCCAGACTTACTAGTGTGATTCATGCAGCAAGCCTTGGGAAAAAAAGCTATAATTTATATTCAGTAAAAGGAGTGCTCACGAGGCTAGGATACTGAGCTGATGATTGGGAGGCCCGCATTTGAGATCCAGTTGTTACCACGGAATGGGGTGACCCCCTGTCATATGATCCAGTTCCTGCCAACCTAGCAGTTTGAAAATGAGTGATCCCAAATTGATAGGTACTACTTCAATGGGCAACTTAACGGGGATGTGAAAGGAGCCCAGGCAATGGTGATGTCACAGTTCAATCCTTTCAATTCCAACACGATTGTAGTAGTATTTATATTCAGTCCTTGCCTATCTTGTGAAAGACTACAGATATATAGCTCTCTAAAATACTAATTGGTCTGATTACATTCTAGAATGATCGGTTTGTGTACAATGACAACTGGGGAGAGGCACTGGGGGACAAAAGTGTCCCTGTGTTATGTGTGTTGAATATTGAAACCAGTGAAGTTTCAGTGCTAGAAGACATCCCAGGGCACCTCTCCCCTGGGCAGGTTAGTATGATGCGGCTTGGTACGTTAGATTGGGAAGAAGACAAAAACAATATCCCAGGTCTCCATTGAAGAAGTATTACATTGGGTTTTTTTTGTTTGTAGAAGCATATTTAAAGAGAAATATTCAGGATGGGAGGCTAGGCTGGGTCTTGGAAACTGTTCTGTTCAGCTGAGGTTTAATATGGCCCTTGATATTTTGCCTCTTTTATAAGTGCAGTTTCTATACATTATTCCCATACTTCGAATAGGTAATATTCAGTGACCTCATAACAGGTGCTGTGAGTGTGCAAGGATAACTTTGCATTAAATAAAAAATACTTCTTATGTGCATTTGTTAATCTGGGGCAAGATGTTATCACATTAACTCCCCACCCACGTTTATGCTGCTACTTCCAGATGGATCATTCTTAACTCTATTAATCATAAAGCATTTGTGTCAAGAAAAAAAGTGAAAACAATCAGAAATTTTGGAAACAAAGTGGAAATCTACACTGTTTGAAATTGTGAAAAATTCAGTTCATGAGGCATGGTAGTAGCATGATTTTTTTAAAAAAAAAAAAATCTCACCTGGCATCAATCATACATTCTGTTTTCTTCCAGCTTTTCCTTTGAAGGGAAAGAAATAGGAGGAAATCTAACTGGCTTAGATTTTTAGTAGGAAATTAGTTAATTGAAACCATGCAATTGCATTTCCTTTAAAATAAGAAAACAGCTTGAAACGCTGCTTGAAAATACTGTTATTCAGTACTCAGTCTGACATTCCTACTGTGCTCCAGTTCAACTGTATTGCTACTGTTGTCACTACTGAAAGATGTCTTGGCCTTTTATGCAAGTTTAGATGAAGCACAGAGTGGCAGCAGGAATCAGTTGGAAAAAATTGTTCCCCTCTGGAGTCCCTTTAGTATTTGCAGGACTATTTCCTCCCAAGCTTTTCTATCAGAGGGAATGAGTAATTGGAGAGTTACTACCAAACAGGAGTTCCATGGATTGGATCAGCATCTAGCAGATGATCTTTTTGAAGGAGCAGATCTCCTGTGTAGCATTCTTCAGATTATGGAGGAAGATTGTGGTACATAGCATTGCCTAGCATTTAGTGCTCAAAATATCGCATGCTAATACTTTGGCTTTACTTCCCTGGCCAGGCTCTGTGGTCCCCAGGTGACAAGGGAATAATATTTGTGGGCTGGTGGCATGAGCCATTCAGATTGGGATTAAATGCCTGCTCCAACAGAAGGTAAGTGAGATCTCACAGGGTTCATGAGAACATGTTATAAACGTGTATCTCATTTTTAGTGGGCCAACATGAATAATTACTTTTAAAAAGTCAACAGGTTTTTACTCAATTCTGAGATTAGTAATTGTTTCTGAAATTCCTCTATATGGAAATTACAATCGGGTTTTAAAAGCAAACTAATGGGGGGGGACGAACCCACCTTAATATCTGCCTTTCCTTAAACAGGATAGCCAAGGCCTGCTGCCAGTCCACACTTCCAAGAAACTGCATAAAGTATCATCCCTAGAGTTGCTTAATTCATGGGTTCTATTACCGTCAGCAGATATGACCATTTCCTTACTGAAAAAGAGATTTTCGGCTTTCAAATCCTTAGTCCTATGTCACTTTCTTTTAAGTAAAGATTGTGAACATTGGATCTTGTTGTAACATGTAGGGCTTCCTGTAAGGCTGGCATGATATCTGGGTTGGTGGTGAAAAATGTTCCCTTCAGGCAAATCTTCACCTGCCCCCTCTCCCTGTTATAGGTCAGCTCTATTTCTCTTCGATCTGTCTGAAAATAGCTGTGGTAAGTCATCTCAGAGATTGTTTTGAATGTCCTAAAGGTAAAAGAGTACTTGAAACCTCTCCTTAAACACTTGCAGTCCAGAGAATATGTTCTGCTTTCCAGAGTCTACCACAAATTGGTTTACACAATTGACTATAGTCCTTGACTTATGACCAATCCCACCGCGACGCAAACCGGAAGTCTCTAAATAACTTTTCTTATTGTCACATATGTAGTTGCCCTAAGACACAGCTCCATCCTCAGCTTTGCACCCCATTCTGATTGCAGAACTATTGACTTCAGATGATCAGTCAGTCTCTTCTCCCCGGCTCAGCCCTGACCAAACTCACCTGATCTACTTGGAGGGACCAGTATTTGGGCCTCATCGCCATTGCTTGAAGCTACAGTTGGTGAGTGCCTGAAAATATGTTACCTGTTCCTGTCAATTAACTTAACAAGTGAAAGGAACATCAGTTCATCCTTTTCTTTCCAAAATTCATTTCCCTCAAAAATAATAATCATGCCCCTGCATGCTATTTCCACTCCTAAACTCTCAGCACTTCCATCTCATCTCTCAAAGATGGGAAAAGATGGGTTTTTCAATGGCCCAATACTGTCTCCCTCCCAAATAACGGTTTATTCTCAAAAGATTTTTTAATAAGCCACAACTAATTCGATTCAAACATCCTAACTAAGGCATAAAGTACAGTTTACAAGGCTGGGTTCGCTCGGTACACTAAGCCAAACCCATCACATTGCTTGGCATGATGTATAACTTTATCATAAAAAACTCTCAATATTTTCAGTCAGAAGCAGTGGTGCTCTGTGAACTAGAAATTATATGAAATATGAGGCCTAGCATATTTGAAAAACTGACTTCCTAGAAGGATGTCATTGATCAGTTACAGTTAGAAAAGTAAATTATGATATCTTAGCCAGCTGGTATAGAACATTTTCAGTCACTTGAAATTGCTAGGCAACTTTAATTGTACTCCAATTTGGAATGAAAAGCAGGCTGAAAAATATAAGGGCACATAAAATCAATGTCTCTTGTTCTTGTATCTACAGAATGTCATCCCTGATTATCATTATAAAATTAATACTGCAATCTAAGAGTCAGGAAAATTTTCAATGTGCAATCTTCTCTCCTGCTTAGCTCAACTGGCAAACAAAGTCCTCATATACAGTAGTGGACATAGTCAGAACTGCCATAGCTGGTAAGTCCCCATTTCAGAGAATATATATTCCAAATTTGAATAATGTTTTGTGATTACCCTCCATTTTGGTTACATATCTCCATTTTATGTATTGTTTTATTGCCACATGGACTCACATAGGCAGTTATGGGTTGTTTTTAAAGTCTGAAAAAGAAGAATATTTTAGTAAACACTAGAATTTTCCTTAAACTATGTCTCTGGGATGAAATATCTTAACAAACTCTTCATTTTTTCTTTAAAGGTTTTTATGGGATTTACTCAGGAGCATTGTCCATGCATTGCTGGGCGTCTGATAATCAAAGGATTTTACTTAGCACTCCTCAGAGGAGTAGAAAGGTAGGTGGATGCCAGCAGAAAATACCTCGTGTATATCTGTTCCTACCCAGCACTACCCTGCAGAAAAGCCAAACAGAAAGAAGTGATAAGAAAACGAAATTTATGTGATGAAGAACAATTGGTTTACAGCAGATGTCTTAATGTATACATTCTGACTTAGGGGCTTGGACCAGCATAACTCTCAAGAAGTAGATCAGAAGGATAATTAATATGAGTTTTCTAGCTCAACAAAAAGTTGAATCTGGATTTCCTATAACTTATAAGACACTGTTTTACAAGAAACTACAGAAATATGCAATCCATTATTTTCATCTAAGATGATGAGTCCTGTGGATTACAAAGATTCTTAGAAGAAAACTTCTGTCTGTTGAAATTAAAGATGAAGTTAAGACTGAGAGATTAGTGCTCAATATAAAATTTATTAAATCTTGGGAGAACCCATCAGCCTTGTAATTTATGTTGAGAGAGAATGTGAGAAAAGTGTTTTTCACCAGTAAAATCATCCACACATTAATCAACTAAGTCCACAGGCATAATCTTTTTACCATCTTTTGCAGGAAGTGTTAGTTGTGGATACCAAATCAGGAAGTGTGAAATCTATTACATCAGGTACAATATAATCTTGGATTTTGTGTGTTTTGTATGTATGTGTGTGTATGTATTCGAGTCAGTTTTAACATGACAAACATGCTCATCTCAAAGGAGGGCAATTTTTGCTGCCTTGTGCTGACTCCTGATTAAAATCTAAATTTCAGTGAAGCCAACAGTTCCTTTACCCTTGATACCTTTTTCTTTTTAAAAGCTTCGTACCATTTCTCTATATAGATCAGGGGTAGTCAACTTTGGCTCTTTTATGACTCGTGGACTTCAACTCCCAGAATTCCTGAGTCAGCTGGCTCAGGAATTCTGGGAGTTGAAGTCCACGAGTCATAAAAGAGCCAAGGTTGACTACCCCTGATATAGATCTTAATGCCATACTGGGATTAGAGTACATGTCCAACAGGTTTTTTTTCATTTGTTTCTAAAGAAACAAACATCAAGTATTTTCCTCCAGAATCAGATTCCTCTCCCACTTCCCTTCCCACAATGGTCTTTGAATAGGAATTTTCATGCATTGGGTCATGAATCAAGATAATTAAGATAAATCTGAAATAATATCCTTGATATTTTGCCTAGGCACCTCAGAAGGTAGCTGGACTCTACTAGGAGTTCAGCAAGATCTGCTAGTGGTGAGCTGTTCATCTCCCAATTGCCCTCCAAGTCTGGTAAGAAAATTTCCTGTGCAGGTGAAGATAAGGGTTGCCTTGAGCTTCCATTTCCCCATTACCCTTTTTTCCATGGAACCATGACAATTCAGAGACTTTGGTAAGCTATCATCATTACTATACTTTTTTCCATATACTGTACTTGCATGAGATATTTTTGGTTGTCTTCTTTTTTAAATAATCTTTAGACGACTTCAACTAATCCTCCTTCCCTTAAAGAAAATCAGTTTGGACATTCATATGTTTACATTATGTACATCAACATACAGTCAAATGAATTCTTCTTAGTCCAAGCTCTGGTGCCCTAAAAAAAAATCTGTTCTCAAAATAGAAGTCTGTAACAGACATAATTTGCTACAAAAATATACATTCTGACAAAAATGAGGACAAAACTAACTCCCACCCGGCCACATATAATGCTAAGAGGTTGTGTGACACCATACCATTCAAGGTCAGTGCTTCTAGTAACAGCCTATTATATCTGCTTTGTAGAGGGTGGGTGTGCTCCCACCTGCAGGGAGTGAGCTGGAACTACAGTGGATCAGTGTGGAGGAATCTTCTGTACTACCTGACATGGAATGGAAAATCCTCACAGTGGATCCTGCTATGTCTGAGAAGGGCAGCCCATACAGTAAGGAAGCAGGTTCACAGAGCTTCCTCCTAGACTTATGACTATCTCACTTGCTTTGCTAGTTGGCTGGAATTTATTGTGGGCTTTGCATTTAGTGCTCCTAGAAGATGGAGTTAGACTTGGTTCCTGGACATAGTAAAGAGTGCAACTAGATTTATGGGGATGATTAACAGTTACGGACAGCTGTGCACAGTGGTGGGATTCAAATACCTGAACAACCGGTTCTATTATGTGATGCAGGCCTGGGCCTCTGATGTCTAGAACGAACTTACGGAAGTGGCATCATGCCCTTCCGGTGGGCTGTTCTAGGCCTGGGAGACCACCTCCCGGGCCGTTCTAGGCCTGGGAGGCCTCCGAGGCCTAGACTGGACTTCCAGAAGCCAGCCGGTTCTCCAAATTCAGATAAATTTAGCTACCGATTCTCCTGAACTGGTGCGAACCAGCTGAATCCCACCACTGGCTGTGCAGAAGGGTAACATTTTAGCCAAAAATAAACTTTAATCTGTTTTTGGCATAAAGACGAGACTCATTGTTCTCGATCACTGGAAGAATCCAAATCAGAATGAAGAGGGTAAAAAAGTACGTGTTGCATGCATTTAGATTCTCAGCCCATTGTGCTGCTCTCATTTCATTTCCTAACTTAAGGACAGGAGAAGGGAATTCCATAGAATCCTGTTGTGTGCTATATAAAATAGAGAAGCTCTAAAAGGCACAGGTGTCAAACTTGCCATGTCACGTGACGTGTTGCGATGTATCGCGACTCTTTTTGCATTGCTGGCAGTTGGGTGGGCGCAGCTTCAGTATGATGAAACCGGCCCGCCGGCTGGCAGTTTGATACCTCTGCAGTCTAAGGCATTAATAATTGATTTGTAACAAACTGAATTCCTTTGGTAAATCATTTGGAATTGAGCTAGCTAGATGGCAACATTTAGCCAACCTTAGCCAATCTCAAAAAGCTAAGTAAGATTGACTTCTTTGGATAGGAGGCCATCAGGAAATTCCAGAGCTCTTGCAAGATTGGAAAATCAAAACAATATTCTGGAGTTTTCTTCTTTTATTCATACACTTTGCTTTCAGGGCTAGGTGTTGGTATTTCTGGTATTTCATGCTCATGTATTTCAGCTGGTATTTAGTTGAGAATCCATAGAAAGAGTCCCCCCCCCCCTTATTTTGATCTGTATTGTGGTCTGAAAGCCATTTTTAATACCATTACATATTCAGAGGACTTTTGATGTAAAGCATCATACTCTGGGATTTCTGCAAATAGGTGACAGTGCTGGTCAAAACAAATTACGTAGAGTCACATCTGGTTTAATACTCAAATGAGAGACTTTCCGGAGAGCCATAGGGTAGACCTGGGTCAAAAACAACCATTATGGGAGAAAGCAATGACATTTCAGTTTTGCTTTCAAGAAAGTTACATAGACTTGTTCATAAAATTACCAGGATTCAAGCTTGACTCAGAAAAGACTTAACCTTGTTTAACCACAGAAAAAGTGCACTAGCCGCTTCAAGGCAAAGATTTGGCCATTGTTGAAGGAAACAGTTTTTTTAGGATATTTATTTGTGTTACATTTCTTTATCACAATTGGGATTTAGATTTTCTAGCCCAAAAGCAAAATGTCTTGATTCTTTATAATGTAGGAGTATATCTTATACTTGGGGTTGTGAACAGGAGGAACTGACAGTCAAAGCAAAGGAAGGATGTACTTAGAAGGCTGATTTCCTTTGGTCACTGAGGTTTGAAAGATAGCCTTCGAAAGCTCACTTTTGACCTTTCTTATAGCTGACCAGTCATTTGAAGCCATATTGCTGATTCCTCGAGGAAGCAAACAAGGAAAAGAGGCCCCTTTGCCCCTTATGGTTTCTCCACATGGTAAATCACATTCATTCTTCTCTTTGGCCTGAGTAAGCTATTATATGTGCTAACAATTAGTCCGAGTTTTCTTGCTTCGTTTTCATTTTTTTCCCCAGGATATTATCAAAGCTGGTGAGGGTGTCTTTTGAGGCTCCTTGAAATTTAAAGGGGCAAAAGTTATTAGACAGAGCTGCAGTTTGCTGCTTTAATGAGTTGGGCCACATTTCCAAGAAAGTAAATGTATTTTGTTGATCAGGATTTCGAGCCTCTGGTTGTTCCTTTTTTTTTGCCTTCAACTGTAGATTTCTGTTTTCTTATTAATAAAGAACTTTCCAAACTCTCAGATCACTTTTCTAAAATTGGAAAAAGAAGCACCAGTTCGTTTCTGTATATCTGCCATTTTCTTTCCAGGTGGTCCACACTCAGTTTTTGATGCTTGCTGGCGTCCAACTATGGCAGGTCTCTGCCGGCTGGGTTTTGCTGTGCTTCTGGGTAAGTAACTCAGGATTCCTGCATTTAATTTTCTTTGCCTTTCTAAGGTTTTATCCAAAGTGACACTGCATGCATTTTACTACAGGTAATCCTCAGTTAATGACCACTTGTTGGTGCTGAAAGAGTGGTTCTTATAAGCAGTTCTCAGTTTTCTGGCCATTGGAGCAGTTGGCCCAGATTTCCAACCTCATAATGTCCCGCAGTTATGAGATCATTATATGCGACCTCTGCAAGCTTCCAACAAGCAGTCAATGGGGAAACTGGCAGAAAGTTGGAAGTCATGGTCACATCACGTCCTTGCTTAAAGACCCACAGTATTTTGCTTGATGTCAATGATGGGGGCACTGCCAGAACTGCCATTGCTAAAGGACATAGTCACATGATGTCACACTTTACAACTATGTTGCCCAACAATGGTAATTTTGGTCCCAATTACCCTTGTTAAGTGAGGATTACCTGTATTTGTGAAATGATCCTGTGTGCAGTGCTTCAGATAATTAGATTTTACAAAGGTAGACTTTTCTTCAGAGGAATCTTGTGATTCCTTGAGAGGGTCTTTTCACTTCCTCATTCGCTTTTGCTGTGAAATAACTTCTGCTAGTTTGAAGCAAATTACAAAAAAAAGGGCAAAGCTACCAGGAAGAGTAGAAATTGGAAGAGAAATTCTTTACAGCACAAGGTCCAGAAGAAGAGGCTGCTACAAGAAAGCAGCAGCCAAGTGAGCTTAGATGCAAGGTCTTACAACACTGTTTCACTTCCTTATTTCCTTCCTTCCTTCCTTCCTTCCATCCTTCCTTCCTTCCTTCCTTCCTTCCATTGGGAGAACATGCCCTCCATGAAATGCACATCCAGAATCTTGCTGTCTCCTCACCTTTTTATTGAGGTGGTATCAACTTTCACCCTACAGTTTCAGGAGTATAATATCTGCTCTTTCTTAAATGAAAACATTCCCATCACAGTATTCACTTCAGAATGAACAATGGGATAGTTAGAGCAAAACTCTGATGGTTTAATAGTACATATAATTTTGATTTATCAGTGGAGATCAAACTGGAGCTGCCCTTCACTTACTCTTGTCCTTTGTTTTGTCTAAACAGTAAATTACAGAGGTTCCTTGGGTTTTGGCCAGGACAGCATTGATTCATTGATCTCCCGTGTTGGAGTACAAGATGTGGCGGACACTCAGGTCAGTCTCCTTTGTTTCTTCATTTTTTCCCCCATTCTGTGAAAGAAGCCTGGGGTTAGGCCAGGTTTAAGTCTAGAACTGAAGGTGAAATTATTGTGTAATATTTTGTCCTCTTTACAATGGTGGATAATCTGCCTTCTTTTTTGGGCTAGGAGTGCAAGCTATGATCACAGATATGGTGACTGCAAGGCAGGTCTGTAATATAGAATGGTCCTGCCAGAGCAGGACTCCTCTTTTCTCCATTCCTTTTGGCTTCTCTGCACAGTTGGATGAATTGGTCCTTGGAAGATTCATCCCAGCCAGTTTGATGCAGTGCTCAGGTCACAGGTATTGGAAGAGCAAATTCAGTATTTTGAGTAGCAGAGCATTACTGGCATAACGTTCATAATGTTCCTGTCTTTCAGCATCCCTTTGAAGAAAAAAAAAATCTTTCTCTTGCATAAACAACAGATATTTGCTGAGCTTCCTAGGAAGAATGATTAAGAATCTTATACGTATAGCATGAGCATGACAAGCCACAAGTTCAGTTTTGTGATCTGCATTGCACTCTGCTGCCCAAGAAACTGCTTACTGCACCAGGTCTAGTTGTGCAGCAGCCTCTGAGATACCACCTGCCATTTGCTTAATGTTCCTCTTACAGCTGGCAGTAGAAGCGGCACTGCAGATGGACATCTATTTGGACCCAAATAGAATTGCCTTGTTGGGAGGCTCTCATGGTGGCTTTATCTGTTGCCATTTGATTGGTCAGTTTCCAGAGAGGTACAAAGCGTGTGCAGTCAGAAATTCCGTCACCAACATGGCCACTCTGCTGGGGACCTCTGACATTCCTGATTGGTAAGAAGCATGCCTCCTCAAGCCAGCCCAAGAGATTGGCCTTTTTGCCTCCCATCCATTTACAAACCCGGTTTATACATATGTGGAGCCTTTTGCCAATTTCATTTGAGCATGTCTCTGTTACATAACTTCTCATCCTAATTCAGCTCCTATATAGATCTGCCTGATCCTCAATATTCAGGCACCACACATCCTCCTTTTTCCTTTCTGAGCCTTTAAACAAATGCCATTTCTCCAATTGTCTAGCAATCAGATCTTCTGACACCTCAGTACAGGCAGAGGTCATGGGGCTAAATATTGTGTACACTTTCCCCAGGCGATACGCTTCTTTAGGTCTGCCATATTCCTATGAGCGGATTCCTACAGAAAAAGATCTGTCTGCCATGCTGCTCTCCTCCCCCATTATTCATGCTGCAAAGGTAAGTACCAGTACGTGGAGATGCTGATTTACTGCAGAACCTCTGCCTCTAGCAAACATCTTGCGGGCGGGGGTTCCCTCTATTTCATGTCTAAAGCCTTATAATTAGATATAAAATATAGGCTCACAGTTCAGTGTAAGTCGTGCTCAGGCGTAGAATTTAGAACTGTGCTGCATTTCCAAGCAGAGTCCAGATGGGCATTTGTAGGAAATGTTTTAACGCAGACTCAAGTTGATGGCCTAAATGTCCCCTTCCAATTTTTTTCATTTCACTGATTGATTCTGTGCCATTAAGTCAATGTCAACTATTAGCAACCATCTATTTTTATATCATATGGCTATACATTGGTCAGAATGTTGTAAGCTGCCCTGAGAGGACTTAACTCTGAATAGTAGCTTATACATTTCAATAAGTGCATGTTTTCTGACAACTCTACGGAAAAGAAAGACTGTGCATGTCTATAAGCTTATGTCTGTCACTACTGATGTGTGTGCCTTCTCAATCAACTAGAAGGCTGTTGTGAACCAACTTGTGAATAACAGGGCAAATTGCATCATTAGCTTAATTTGAATAATTCACATAGAGGTATTCTGCCATTTAGAGTCCAACATTTACTTGTTTTACTATATTTTGTTTGAAAACAAATATGAATAAACTTGCTTGACTCAATATTACAAACTATGTGGTGGGGGTTTGGGGGTTGTTGGTTTTTTTTTTGCTGGTTACTTCTTGGTTTTTCCTTCTCCTACAGGTACGAGCACCTCTGCTGCTGTGTGTTGGTGCAAAAGACCGGCGAGTGTCTCCATACCAAGCTTTGGAATATTACCGTGTGTTGAAAGCTAGAGGAATCCCTGTGCAGTGAGTTCCCATTTAATTTATTGAGTCAAAGCAAGAGAATGTCTTCTTGACTTTTTTGTTTGGACACATTCCATGGCCATATATCAGTGATGGCGAACCTTTTAGAGACCGAGTGCCCATAAACTGGCCCCACCCTCGCTCCACCCCCTGGCCCACCCCTGCTCTGCCCCCATCCCCTGCCCCACCTCTCCACAGGGCCACTCACCGCCTCCAGGGCCCACTGCAGATCGCCCAGGCAGCCCAGCAGCGCTATGGCGGTCACGCCCTCTGCCCGTGCCCTGCAGCATCAGCTGTGCACAATGGGGTGTGAGGGCAGAGTCTTGTCTACGCTGCCTGGCTGCCATGTCCTTGGCTGCGCTGCTTCACATGGGCCACACTCGGGCGACTATCCTTCAGGGGGGCTGCTGGAGAGGAGGGGGTCACGGGGGGAGGTGAGGCTCGGGCAACGGCACGTGTGCCCACAGAGAGAGCTCCGAGTGCCACCACTGCCATATATTGTGATTCCTGATTCCTGTACTGTAGTGGATTTGCCAGCAGAATGGAGGAACAAAACCAAATTTGAATACAAGTAATCCTCGCTTACTGACAGTAATTGGGATCCGGAATCAAAAACAAACAGTGCAAACAAACTACTGTTCTTAACCAAACTGGACATCCAAATTAGATGAAGCAGAAGGCTAGCCTGTATGTAGGACTTGTGAATTCTGTAATAAGCAACTGGTAACTAATACAGATCCCTTATCCTAAGTAGAAGAGATACACCAGTTTTGTATCAATTGCAATTTCTAGATAATGTTTGTGCAAGTGTTGCCGCATGCAAAATTGTGACGTCGGAGTCAAGACAAGATCTGATCTAGGCAAGAATAAGAATTGCAAAATCAGATCTGGCCATAGGTGGGTAAATGTGCTTCTCACCACAGCTATCCTCTGTAAATTCAGTGACAACATAGGATTAAGAAACACCTAAGATCTTGTGTTTTCACTTTTAGTACTGCCCTATGTAAAACAAGCCAAAACCTAATACTGTATCCAGTTTCTTCTTTCCAACAGCACTTCCCTCTTGTTTTCATTTAATTAGAAGGTGTATCATTCACCCAGGCCTTTCTGGGACGTAGACATTGTTTATGCTTCTTGGTGTTGGATGGTAAACAACAATACATCTTAGAGGCATCAGTATGCCCTGGAAGTATTAGATGGAATCCCACTCCAAGATTCCAGATGATCTCTCCACTAATTGTCTGTTGACATTGACTGGCATGGGAGACAAAATTGAATTCTGTGGGACAATACAAATAAATGGGCAAGGGGTCAACAGCATTCCTCCAGCATTATCTTTTGACTTAATACTTGAGGCTGAGTTCCAGACTCTCTAGAAGAATATCATCAATGGGATTAAATGGTACTGAGAAATCCGGGAGAAATATTAGGGTTTCCATCAGCATAAACTATCTACTAAGTCACTCAATATTATATCTTGGCTGAAATAAGCAATATCTAGATGCATATTGTATAAATACATAAGGATCACCATTTTCTGTTTCTTTTCCCAGGGATAGAATGTTTGAGTTACATTACACAGATCAATAATAGTATGAGTCAAGGCAAGGATTTCTTCAATTGAAATATTAGACACAGGGAACATAACCCATTTATGTGGTGACATTGATTGCCTCCCTTAATTAGGGGTTCAATCCTTTCCTGGATAATTTAATCAGCCATGAACAGCATTGATTTAATAACCTTTATCTCTCAATTCTTTGTCCATATCCTCAATTTACAAGCTAGGAAGAATGCAGAGTAGCAGGCAGCATCAGAGATTATATTGTAAATTGACCCAACCAAATGCAAGTAGAACCAATGGAGTTTATACACAAAGAACACAAATGACAAGTTGCTGAAATCTGCTGCTACAGCCTTTTTTTTTTTAGAAAGCAAGAATAGCAGGAAAATTATATGCCTTAGTGTCCAACTTCCTTGTGTGTGTTATTTATCGGATAATTTTATTACAATTGATTATGCTGAGAAATCATATGCAGGGATCCTTCAATATTTTTAAAATTAGATTGGTTTGCAATTTGAATTATTCAAATCGCAAACCAAATCAGATAGATGGAATAACAGTGAATGCTGAAGAGACAACCCCTTGTAAAAAGGCAGGGAACCGCTTTGGCAATGACAGATGACAGAGAAGTTGACAGTAAGAATAGATTGGCATAACTTCTTTAAAAAATAAATGACATGTGTTTATTTTAAAATGAGTGTACTGTCAGTACTGTACTGTCTTTACTGTCAGTCAAAGCAAAGAATTTTCCACAGCAATTAAGGGATATTTTTAAAATATGCCAAAGAACTGTTTAAAATATTTTGTAAAATACTTCGGTATTTTTTTTACAGACTGATGTGGTATCCAGAAGAGAATCATGCCTTAAGTGGAGTAGTAGCTGAAGCAGATGTCTTTATGAACTGTGCCCAGTGGATCATACATCACCTTTCCAGAAAGGTAGATTGAAAGTCAACTGCCAACTAAATATGAAGACAACCAAGTTGCTGAAAAGCAAACTGTGTTTATGTATAAATGTGACAGGAGTTTCTTTTTCTCCACCTCAACATGTAATCAGATTGTGGGCATCTGAAAATTCTTCCCTGCTGATAATCCCTTCAGAATGTTTTTGAGGAATTCTGCTGATAATGTTACAAATATCTACTCAAATCCTAATTCTGATTGAAAAATGGATTTCTGATAACTGGCCTTGCAAAAAAAGCCCTGCTATTAGATTGCTAACTGATATAATCAATCAAGCCAACTTTTTATTTGAATAAATGGATATGCTGACATAGTCCAAAGGAAATTCTCCAATAAGGCTTCTCATTTGCAACTGAATATTTTTAGTGGGTTTTATATGTGAGCAGGACTCGGCAGTAATGATATTTTGATGATTAATTAATGATTAATGATATCCACTCAGAATTGCCTGAACCAAGAGATGAGTGACAAATAAATTTAATAAACAAGCAAATAAATAAATACAAGACTGTTTTTATTCTTTCCCAGTTCTCTGATTAAATATTTGTTGCTTTTAGGAACTTCTGATGGAAAATGCCCACCATTTTCCTGTATCAACAAACATGGATATACTGCAAAAATATTTATCTTTATCATAGATATTAATGATACATTCATTCACCAGTGATGGACTCTTATGAAGCTGTAATATCATCTCACACAAGAGATGAATCTTGGTGGGGTTGAGGAAAATAGGGGAAAGTTCTGAAGAAGACAGACAGCAAGGTCTAAGTGTGATGTATGACTCTGCCATGCTGACTCAATATTGGGAGTAAACAGAAGGGCAATGTTGAGGTGAGGAAGGATCCTAGAGGAAGCAGATGGACACTTGGCTGTCAGGATATAGCACAAAACAGTATTTTTGTGGGTTGCATCTGATAATGAAACTTTATCCTTGATTTCAGCAGTTTTTGACACTATCAACTATATTTTTCTTTTGGACTATCTTTGAGTAGAGGTGGGGGGACCACTGATTGGCAGTAATTCTTGTTCCTGAAAGGTCCGTTCTAGATGACGGTGTTAGGAGGAATCTATAATCTTGACCACCTTCCAACCTTTAAACATGTCTGTATTTAAGTTGTTAAGAGGAAAAGAAAGCATCGGAAGCAAGAGGGATCTTGAGTATATCCAGGAGCAGCAGCTTAATTTACACTGAAAAAATCTTCTTCTTATTCCTTTGGAAACAGACTTTCCTGACCATCTGATATCTCCAAATAGGGCTGGAATTTCCTTCTTTGAAATTGAGATGCCAATGGAGAGTAGGATTGTTGTTTTGTTTTTGCTTTGTTGTTTGTTTTTTGAAGCAAAAAAAATGAGTTGACATGTTCAGGTCTGCTCATGAGCTATCAGTCAGTAAATTCTTGAAACTGCATTTTTTCCTGGAGTTGCACAAGATCCAGGCACATATGGTTTAAGGTGATGGTGATAAATGTGACATCAGTCGTCCACACCTTCCAAATCACCTTTCTATATATTCTGTATATTTCTTTGAATATACATTGATCCACAATTCTAAATACTGTACTGTGAGTAATACTGTGAGGCAAATATTTAATTTGGTTAGGAGGCAATTTAGTTGCTATGTTTCTGTTCCTAACATCTGGTACTGGGAGGAAATACAATAAGACTAGTGCTTAAGGCATTTTTAACCAGAACATGGTTAGAATTGTCTTTAATTTTATCTATTTGAGAGAATTTCAATTTGTTGAATTGAAAATAATGATCAGAGACAAAGTTCAGTACAGAGCCATGAAAGGAAACTGTAACTAAAGATATGCTGAGTTTGTCTCAACATATTCACTGATTGGTAACCAATATTCGAATAAGATCAGATATCCTTTCACTCAAAACTCTACTGCTGGATTTCTACAAATACTGGCTTTTTAAAGAGGAGATTTTGGTGTCCAAAATCCTTGGTGAACTGCTACAAATCATCCTACATCTTATTTCCAAAGCCAGGATTTCTTTAATGATATGAGTGATATTACAATGAACATGACAGCAGTACTAATTCTTATATCAAAATTTTGGCCTCTGTAAGAATGGCCATTTGGCATGCAGTTGCTACAGACAATATAACTGTGATTACATAAGAGAGATAAAATGCAGTACAATCATTTGTGATAGCTATAATTTATATGTTATTGGAGAAGTAGTGTTTCAGAGAATAACAGAAATATTATGCTGTTAAGATAGAAAAACTATCAGGTTTTCCTGGACTACAAAAATGTCATTTCAGATGTGAAAAAAAACTTGAACCACATATAGGTTAACAGAACTATAATGCACCAATACATTAATCATTAACATTTTTAAAAAACCTAATGTCTGGACTGCAAAAATAAAGATGTCGTATGAAGTTTCGTATGCTGGTTCAGAGGATAAAGAAGTTAATTACATTCAGCTGCCTTGGACAATACCTCCCATGAACCCTTGGAGTTGGCTATGAGTTGCAATCTGGAGAACACCAGATCGCAAGTGATAACAAAAAGAGAGAAGGAATCAGTTTTCAGAAAATCACACTTCAGAACCTATTTACCAGAAATTATTTCAGGACTTAGAAATGGTGCATGTGTTCTAAGGGAAGCAATATTTCCTTAAAACCTGGGGAACATTCAGCCTCAACTGAACTTTTAATACTGATGACAGAAAAAAGAAATTGCAGACAATGCCCATGTGAAATGTAAAGTCAAGGACTGCTCCAACGAGGCGGCTATGGGTAAAAGTCTTACATATTGAAGCTTCTGTCCATGAATATATCCATTGAAAGAGCTATACTCTTGGATAACAACCAACCAGTCCTATCAAAAGGATATGGATGATTTAATAATGCAACACATTAGCTTATGCTTAGTTAAAATCACATTAGCTTAGCCACATGTTCAGTGACTTTGTGACAAATATACATCAGCTCAGCTCAGCCTCATCACTTTGTTGATCCAGTCAACATACATGGAGATTCGGATGAAAGTGGCAGGCACGTCTTTCCGGGCACATATCCGCAATGGGGTGATCACACCTTGTAGCACCCAGCAATCTTGAGTCAGGCAGGCCAAAGGACCTCCAAAATCACCCTGCAGACAAAAGACCAACTTGAGTCAAAAGCAAGCTCGAGCTTAAGGAGCACAGCAACACTTGACAAGGTACATGGGTTGATTTTCTACCTCAGACTTTTGTTCAAACAGCTTCCCTGACCTACTTGCCTTGACATAATTTATCTGCAGCTTCAGTTTTCAGTTTATCTTTTGGGGGACTCTTTCCCACTGCTTATCTTTTTTTTAAAAAACCAAGAGATTGGCAACTTTTTAGGGGACGTCATGCAATCTCATAAGTGCCCATGCCCATCTTCATTTTTTTTTTAGATCAGTCTCACAAAATTGCCTAGCCTGAGATATTTTGCAAGAATATTGTAAGATTAGGTGATTTAGGAGATTAGCCATTTTTCAAAAATAAACGTGTTTAATCAAATTGTGGGCCTCTTAGGCTGGGGTTATTGCAGGTACCATGTTTTTGGCCTTTCTGTAAGGCTTGTCCAAGTTTCTGTAAGGCTTGCTCCAAGTTTTCTCACTTTCCAGACGTTGGCCTCTCATTTATATATTTACTTCTCTCAACCGGTCACTTGATGGAGTTTTCCTGTCATCAACCTTGATCTCGTTGCAAGCCAAGCAATTCAATTCAATACAAATCCACCTCCCTGTCCTGCTCACCTCACAGGCTCCCACGCCAACCTTCAGTGCTGATGTACATAACTCATTGTCCTTCAGACGGCCTTGAAGGGCCACGTTGCAATTTTGATTGTTCATGACTGGCAGCCTGGCCACGTTGAGGACATTGTCATTCCCAGTTCCTGTGTGCAAAGAAGAACCAGAGCACTAGATAACGTGTGAGTTATGGACCTTTATGATGGTGAGACTGTCTTTATGGTGTGCTGCTCTGAGAGTATTGCTTTTGTGGTTAGTATTTTATGTGCTGGCATCTTTAAAAACTTTTGAGCTTTTATAACAGAATCAGTATGTATGTGCTAGAGTGTATACTTTTTATTCCTATATCTACTTGCTGTATTGAAAATATTTGTGCTGCAGATTATTATGATATTGTATATTTCTCATCTAATGTAACAAACTGCTAAGTGAACAATATTATTGGCCAGGCATATATAAACACTAATAAATAATCAATTCAGTATTATTACCCACATCAGGCAAACCGTCCCAACAATATGATAGCCTTTCAAAATGCTAAATATCAAGATAGTAGTCAGGATACGTCAATATCCCTTTAAAAATCTGTATTATTTAAATGAAAATGAAAAAACAATGCCAGTAAGTAATTATCGAACTCTGTAGTGCCATGATCCACTCAAATTTCAAATAGGGCAAATTGATAATATTCCAACGGGATATTTTTCATCACCTTAATATGAGTTCAGGAATCTGTTCTAAATAAAGTTTCATTGAAATGCGTGAATCATACAATAGTTTAGAAAATCTTCCATATAGGGAATATCCTTAACTGGAAGGATATCTGGTTAATAAAATATTGGAAATTTTAGTCTTGATTAGTTTTCTGAGAGATTCTCGATATGGAAGATATTCTTATTTATGTCTTCACTTTTCTAATAACTTCATATCCCTTTGGAATTTGCATAGCGGCAGTAGAGAATTTAGAGAGGGCTTTTGTGCTTCCTTATTTAAAAAAAAAACCAAAGAATTAACATAACTTAATCATGTTGTATATGAAGATGCTTTTGGTTTATAGAAGTAGACAAATTTCATAACTGATCAAACACTATTCCAATTAACAGGTATCAGTTACTATCCTAAACTCATTGGTCACATTTCTGCTTAGAATTGGGTCAGTGGAGTAAATTTTGTATTCAGAGTTCCATTAACCTAAATAAGCAATTCCTAAAAAGGAATTGATAGCTCAGTTTTTCAATTTGTACTCCATCTGGACAAGCTGACTATCTACACAATGTGGAGTACAATCCTGTCAGGGCTGTGATTTTGTTTGCACATGCAAACTTCAATTCCTGGCAATCATGCTCCAAGTTTTCTCTCTCACTGGACAACAAATAAAAATGTGAAGAGGAATATTACCTAATCCAGAGGTCCCCAACCTTTCTGGGGAGGCGCCTTTAGGAGCACATGCACACACGCAAACAGGACCACAAGCGCGCATGATATTCATGGTGACGGTATCTCCTGCACAACACTTGTGGTGACGCTAAGGCCTGTGCAACGCTTGTAGTGCATTGGCCAGCCACTCACACAGCCCAGTGGCCAATAGGCCACTGGCTGCTAGTGGGCTGCGGCCCACAGGTTGGGGACCCCTCACCTAGCCAGTTTCTGACAACTAATGGTTAAATTGTCGTACACTTTACATCCAAGGAAAAATCCACATTTTTACTTCCTTGTCCCAGC